AATCGATCCGATCCCTTTTCACGAATTCCGAGTCGAACCGGGCGAATCAGGTTAGACTCGACGTTTTTTAAAACGCTGACTCAAACAATGGGGGTAGACGATCCACCGCACGAGGTGTCAAATAAGAGATAGACCGTTGGACACTTAGAAGTACGTCCCCGCTTGTCATCAAGTAGAGACACCCATGTTGAGCACCCTATGTACCTTTGATTTGTATTGGATAATACCATCAATATGGATATATATATATATACACTCTCTCTCACCCAAAAAATTCAAACCTAGATTCCATAATTGTACCTGAGCTTCCATGCAGGCATTTGTCAAGTATCTTGATATTCCTAGTGCGTACAGCGGATCCCATGGGGTTATACTGTATGTCAAATCCCTTGGGCAAAAGAGAGAGACTCTCGAGATTTATTTATTTATTTTTATTTTTTTCATTTTTGATATCCGACTAAGTATTAGTAGTTTCGAATAAGAATTTTTTTTTTTTCTTTTAGCACTTGGATCCTTCCCTCCAAAAATTGGACATTATTAGCTCATTCTTGTGACGATTCATTTTCAAGCACATAAAATATGCCATTATTTTCTTAGGTTGGTCACTACACTCAAGAAATTACAACTCTATCTTGAAAATATTATCAGCATTAGGGGTGCAATCAGGTCGTGTAAACTTGGTACAGGTCCCGGTTTGGGATCAGGTGAGTCAGGTCCAGGTCGAAACCTTAGGCTCGAGTCGGATCTGGATCCAAGTCGATCTGACCCGAACATATGTACATACACACATATTTATACATACATATATTCATGCAATCTCTAACATGAAAAACATTTAAACTGTTAGTTTAAAAATAAATAAATTTTTAAAAAATAATAATTCTATTGAAAAACCATTTAGACTGTGACTTTCAACCACTTAGAGTGTGACTTTCAATTGTTTTTAGATGGAACACTTATATTGCATCCATCTTTCCATCTTTAGGATGAATGCTTTATACCTCAGGGACCGACCATAAATGTAGAAATGCCGTCCCCATTGCATGAAACAATTTTCCATATATATTTTTTAATATCTTTCAAATATCTTTGTTAGTTTCTAGACCCAGGGCCAGATTTTAGACCTAATGGGTCCAAAACCCTAATCTGCAGGGGATTTACACGAGGAATCAAGTGAACAGGATGCTCCCACAAAAGTAACATGTCTTTTGTCTTCTATTCTTCCTGCAAATCGTCCCTCCAACAACCCAAAGGAGCAAATCCCTTGGCAATTAGGGTTTGTCTTTGTCCTACAACTGCGGGCTTCTTACAACTTTACCTCTACGGAGCAGCTTTCTCCCCCTCTCTTTTTACTTGTACGTACACCTTCCTCGTATTCTCGCACTTTCATCAATCTCCTCTCTCTCTCTCTCTCTCTCTAGACG